ACTTGTCATTAGTCCCACAGTAAGCAAACGACAGGCACAGGAGAGGAATCGACAGGCTCAAGGAGGAATCGACAGGCAAGACTTTCTAATTTATAAACCAAATTCCTACCCGTGACAGGTGATGAAACCTAAATTTTTGTAAATGCGTTTCAAGTCTCTTTCTCCCTCATCCCCTCGTTTAGGCAATAAAATAACTGAATTATTCTCTGTTTGGATTTATAAATGTTTCAAAATCCTTATGGGAATGCCCAGACTGAGAACACACCCAGGAGTTGTGCATTCATTTGAAAGAACTTTCTCCTTGTGTTTTAAAAAATACACGGAGGATCTTCCACTTATCCTGGCTTTACTTGACATTCTGCTTTTTGAAAAATTGGCTTCCTTGGCCAAAACTCAAGGCCAGTCTCCACCAAATCTCAACCTGCTCGGTGCCACCACACTGGCACCTCTGTCCAAGACACCCAAGAGCCACTGAGCTGCTGTGATTTTGGCACCAGCCACCAGAAACCTGAGTTAAGGGTCAGAGTCTCTGGAGAAAACAAAGACTGGAAGGAAAATTATGGGGGGGGCCTCCCAAGGGGGAGTGCGTGAAGGTGGCAAGGTGGTCCTGTGGCTCCTAGCTCTCCTCCGCTCTCCCTCCATAGAGCATCACAGGATCTAAAGTTCTGGTGGAAAGATCACTCTGTACGCACCAAGAGCTGCATCCTGGAACCATAGCATGGTTTGGGTTGGAAGGGATATTTAAAGGCCATCTAGTCCAACCCCCCTGCCATCATCAGGGACATCTTTGACTTGATCAGGTTGCTCAGAGCCCCATCCAACTTGGCCTTGAATGTTTCCAGGGATGGGGCATCTACCACCTCTCCGGGTGACCTGGGCCAGGGTTTCACCACCTTCATCGTGAAAAATTCTTCCCTAGACCTAGTCTAAATCTCTCCTCTTTCAGTTTGAAGCCATTATCCCTTGTCCTATCGCTACAGACCCTACTAAAAAGTCTGTCCCCCACTTCAGCTGGCATAAACCTTGAAGAGGCTCCTCTCCTTGGAGGAGAAGCCCACCGTGATCAGCTGCCACAGCTCATATTTGGAGTCTTCTGCTCCCCTCAGCCAGGTACGAGCCGTTTGCTGGCCGTAAATCTCCCGTTACAGCCTCCTCTGCCGTACAGCACACGGGGATTAGCAGCAGCTTTCTACTTTTTAGGTTACAGCCGAGCCCAAAGTCCCCAGAAGAAAGGGAGAGTTTCCTAAGTAGCATGACTGACAAGACTGCGGAGAGGGAGTTTATTCAGAGCATTATCTAATTCATTCCCCGGCGAAGGAAACTCATCTACTTTGGAGACTTAAAACTTCTAAAGAAAACTGCTATGATCTAAAGAGATTGGCCATAAAACTATTTGTATTGAAAACTTAGCCAGCGTGCCTTTAGTGAACTTCATTCATTAACATTCTTCCTGGCAAGGTTTCCATATCTCAGCGTTCATTTTATACTTTAATTTGGTTAGTAGGTCTTTGTTTAATCGTCCTATTGAAAGGAGAACAAAGAAGGTTTAGGTGATACAGCGAAGTAATACACTATATTTTATCTCTGGAAAGCCCAGACAAAGTCAGCAGGCTCTGATACCCTCCGATTCAGGGCTTTTTTTCTTTTTTTTTTTTTTATTCCTTTTCTCTTCCAGGACGTTTGGAATCACAAATCAGTCGCGGAGCATAAAGATCCTCACTGTACTTAGCTCTGGACACCTTCAGAAAAAGAAACACCTTGTCAAGCAGAGCAATGATGCTTTGAGCACCACATAGAGCCCCGGAGGAAGATTATCCCAGGAAAAAGTGCATCCCCAGTGCTCCGGGGAGGGATGTTCTGCGTTGATATCTCTGCCCTCCCAATAAAAATCAGTAGTCAAGATAGTTTCTCCTATTTCTGAGTGTTGCGCTTTTACCCTCTCGATATTATGGAATCACGGAATTGTCAGAGTTGGAAGGGACCTCTAGAGATCATCTAGTCCAACTCCCCTGCCAAAGCAGGGTTGCCCAGAGCACATCACTCAGGATGGCATCCAGATGGGGCTTGAAGATCTCCAGAGAAGGGGACTCCATGACCTCCCTGGGCAGCCTCTTCCAGGGCTCTGCCACCCTCACCGGAAAGAAGTTCTTCCTCATATTTCAGTGGAACTTCCCATGTTCCAGCTTGAGTCTGTTGCCCCTCGTCCTATCGCTGGAAAACACTGAAAAGAGTCCAGCTCCATCCTCCTTCAACCCACCCTTTAGATACTTGTAAACATAGATGAGGTCTCCCCTCAGCCTTCTCTTCTCCAGGCTAAAGAACCCCAGCTCTTTGAGCCTTTCCTCGTAAGGGAGGTGCTCCAATCCCTCCATCATCTTAGTTGCCCTACGTTGGACCCTCTCCAGCAGTTCCCTGTCTCTCTTGAACTGGGGAGCCCAGAACTGGACGCAGGATTCCAGTTGTGGCCTCCCCAGTGCAGAGCAGAGGGGGAGAATGACCTCCTTCCACCTACTGACCACACTTCTCCCTGTGCAGCCCAGGATCCCATTGGCCCTCTTGGCCACAAGGGCACGTTGCTGGCTCATGGAGATCCTGCCATCCACCAGGACCCTTCTCCTCGGTAGTGCTTTCCAGAAGATCCACCCCTAACCTCTACTGGTGCCTGGGGTTCTTCCTCCCCAGGTGCAGACCCTACATTTGCCCTTGTTGAGTCTCATTATGTTCTTCTCTGCCCAGCTCTCCAGCCTCTTCAGGTCACACTGGTTCTCCTCGGTAGTGCTTTCCAGAAGATCCACCCCTAACCTCTACTGGTGCCTGGGGTTCTTCCTCCCCAGGTGCAGGACCCTACATTTGCCCTTGTTGAACCTCATTAGATTCTTCTCTGCCCACGTCTCCAGCCTCTTCAGGTCACGCTGGATGGGGGCACAGCCCTCTGGAGTCAATTAACGTCATGGGATTTTTTTTTCTGGGTGCAAAACTCATCAAGAAGCCGCGATTTTGCCCAATGACTAAGGGGCTCTGCAGAGAGCACCTGTTCCCTCCAGCACAGCCCGCCCCCAAGGAGGATTTATGGGATGAAAAGGATGACACCCCCCCCTCCCCACCCACCCCAACTCCTCATTTCACAATAACCAGGGCTGCTCCCTGGCCGCACGAGGGAGGGGGCAGCTTCTGGGCTGGTGCAAACCGACACAGCTCCAACTGACTCCCAACTGACTCCAGATAATCATCTGGCCCCAGAGTCAAGGCAGGACTCAACAAGCTTTTCTCACAGAAGAGCTTTCACGCTCTTTTTCTCGAATATTCGCTACCGATTCCCGCCCCGCCGCGTAAATCCACGACGTAGGGTGCACCAGGAAAGGTGGGAAAATTGGGTGTCTTCTCTTTATACCGTGGCAGACGGTGAGTTGTCTTCTCCTCACTGAAAACTCTGTAATTTTGTACTTTCTAAACTTTTACTCCAACTACCGTGGCAGACGGTGAGTTGTCTTCTCCTCACTGAAAACTCTGTAATTTTGTACTTTCTAAACTTTTACTCCAACTACCGTGGCAGACGGTGAGTTGTCTTCTCCTCACTGAAAACTCTGTAATTTTGTACTTTCTAAACTTTTACTCCAACTACCGTGGCAGACGGTGAGTTGTCTTCTCCTCACTGAAAACTCTGTAATTTTGTACTTTCTAAACTTTTACTCCAACTACCGTGGCAGACGGTGAGTTGTCTTCTCCTCACTGAAAACTCTGTAATTCTGTACTTTCTAAACTTTTAAAATTGGTTTTACTTCAACTACCAGTGGAAATTGATGTTTTCCAGTGGCACTGCTCATTTCTGACTTTCCTCATGGATGAAGCTGCCCTCCCAAGGCAGGAAAACCATTCAGAGACATTGATGGTTGTACTTTCTAAACTTTTACTCCAACTACCGTGGCAGACGGTGAGTTGTCTTCTCCTCACTGAAAACTCTGTAATTTTGTACTTTCTAAACTTTTACTCCAACTACCAGTGGAAATCGATGTTTTCCAGTGGCAGCGCTCATACCTGACTTTCCTCATGGATGAAGCTGCCCCTCCCGAGGCAGGAAAACCATTCAGAGACATTGATGGTCTACCATGATGTGGTAGATACAAACCAACCCGCAACCCACCCGTTGTGCCCTCTTCCCGTGGACAGCAGTGTCCAAACCCCAAATCCTAAATGGATTCTATGAGGATCCTATAATGGCTTTCACTCTGAGGGTGGTGAGGCACCAGGTGAGGTTGCCCAGAGAAGCTGTGGAACATCCCTGGAGGTGTTCAAGGCCAGGCTGGACGGGGCTTTGAGCAATCTGATCTCACAGGAGGTTGCTGAAACCTCCTGTTGAGCAACCCATGGCAGGGGGGGTTGGAACCAGATGATCTTTAAGGTCCTTTCCAACCCAAAGCATTCTATGATTCTATGGTTCAGAGGAACACAAATGCCCAAACCCAAAATCGAGCAGCAAACCACGGGAGCAGCTCTAACTCCGGTGAAGTTCACAGAGAAGAAACACAACCAGTGAAGTTCCAGCAGCAAATACAAACATCTGGGGAAGCAGCTGGGCGTTGGGTGGTAAAGAAGGTCCATGCCACATGGCTGGTCAGCGGGGAACTATTTTTGGAAGGTGGTTATTCTTTTACAGCACCGATTTCTGACAGGCACCAGCGTAAGGGAACGGGCAGGCAGGCTCTGCAGGGACCAGGGCTGGCTTCAAACTGGTGACCTGGAGGTGAAGGGCCCCTTCTCTTGTTACTAATCCCGTCGGCCACACAAGCCTCCTGAAAACGATGCTTTGGTTTTATTGCCACAGAGGTCATTTATAAAATCATAAAACCCAGGGTAGGAAACCAACCCGGCGGCAGCAACGCACAGAAACAGCCCAACGGCCAAGTTCAGCCCTCCCACAGCACCCTGAATAATTCAGTTGATTAAATGTGAGAAGTTCTGATTAACGGGAGAGGGGAGGAGGAAATGGATAAACAACTTAACAAAAAGCTAGTTCTTTATTATTGCAACCAGAAATGACCAAAGACGGTGGTTTTTTTTTTTGTATTGTCTGCACATTACACGCGGAGAGAAACAAGAATCAGGTTTGCAACATTCAACAATTCAAAATAAAATTCAAAAAAAAAAAACACCAACATAATCAAACCCAAGAACTTTCTCGACTGGTAATTAGCAGGGACGGAATATAAACGAGGTGGCATTGAACAAAGAAAGTAACAGTGCACTTTTAATAAACCAATTTCATCCATATCTCCACTGATTCGCAATTTAACAGTTCTATCAGCAAAGCCTCATTTCCCTAACTAGACCTGCACTTTTAAAAAACATGACTAATTCAAGGCTCATTAATATCAATTTGGATGCATTTAAAAAATAACGCTTAATACCTACGCAACAGGTGAAAGGGCCATAGTCTCAAACATCAGATGGTTCTCACTGTATGGTTTAAAGTAGAAATATCCCCAAATTAACCAACGAAGTCTGAATGTTCCCTATGGCTTCGTAAACAAAAGGTATAGATTTTTTTTTTCTGGATTCATTCTTATATTTTATTTAGCTCTGAGATGCATTGCACTACAATATTGAATACTGCCTTCTTTTATTTTTTTTTTTTTTTCTCTGCAATTTTCCCCTTCATTTTTCAACGAGGAATACGATTTGTATTCACTTGACGGGTCTTAGATGGTTGGACTCGGTGATCCCAAGGGTCTCCTCCAACCTGAATGATTCTATATGATACGCAAAGCAGAGTTAACACACCTTCTGGCCTCAGCACATCTCCTCCATCTAAAGGGGAGCTCGGTGATTTTGGCAAAACTGGCTAAAAAAGCAAAAAAAAAAAGGCTCAGCTACAGCTTAACACCCTGTAGCTACCGGTAAAAGTGTGGAGCCCCCCCTTGGCCTAAGCTGGCGATTCAGAAGGCATTTAAACAAGTGTGGGAACAGGCTCCTTGAAGGCAATAGGATTACTCACTTCTTAAGAAGTTACCACATGTTTAAGTATCTGAATCGAGTTCCTAATTACGGCGCTGGCCGCCTCCCCGTGCTCCTCCTCGCACCGCTGGGGCAGAGCTCGCCAATCCCTTAAAGCCATAAGGCCAGGCGTCGCGTCCCACGGGCTTTTAATAGCTGCTAGGTTGGTATTCTGCCCCCCCCCCCAAAAAAATAAAACTCCTCAAGCCCTAAAAAAAGAATTTTAAAAAAAAAAATTAAAAAAATTACTTATTTATAAATATCAGGTATTCACAGGTGGGAAACGTCTTTTTAATGGGAAGTGTTTTTACACACCAATGAAATGTACAAGCGATGAAAAGGTACGTTGACAAAGACTTAAAAAAACAAACCAGCGAAAAAAAAAAAACAAAAACAAAAACACAACCCAAAGTATAAAATATATTACAGGTCCACCGAAATAAATTCACACGGGAGAAAAAAAAAAATCGACACAATAGAAACTTTCCTTTTTCTTTAAAAAATAGAAGATATATCACAAAAGCTTGAACGTGTTTATTTTATGTTAGTACTAAAAATCAAGGAAAAAAGCTTCATATATTCTCATCACAAAAATATTTACCAGCCACTTCTTTTATTTCCACGTTATGATTATCTGGCTCAGCGAGGGGGGGTAGAGGCTGAACTGCACCCAGGCTACAGAAATCGTTCCAGAAGGGTCTCCTCAGTTTACAACTTACTGCAATTTACATTTTCTCCTCCTCCCGGGCACCTTGCTGCAAAGGTTCCAGAGGGATTTGTGACAAATCGGGGAGGAATAAGACAGGAATCTGTATTTACAACATTCATCTTGGCCGCTGCCGAGCCGCGGGGAGCGGTGTCCCATCAACTGCCCAAGTCTTCGTTAACGCTCTGTGCAAATTGCCCTCGGTGGGCGAAAAAAGAGACAGCATCAGAATGTACCAAAAATCCAACCCCTGGGGCTCGGCCGGGATGCCAAAGGCACCGGAGAACTTCTCCTCATCCCTCCCAACCCCCGATTCACTCCAGAGTCCCCGACGGGGGAGACACGAGGTGGCTGGGTCCCCCCCAAACCCCGAGGGGGCTGCGCTGCCGTGGTGGGGTGGGTGAGCGGGACCTGAGTCCCCTACGGGGTCCTCAGTGAGCCTTGTGCTTCCTCTTCTTGTGTTTTTTATCCTTCTTTTTGTTGGCGCACTTGGAGCAGAACCACTGCATCTCTTCCGGGGGCGCCGTCGTGATCCCCACGCAGGGCCTGGGGAGGAGAAGGGAAAACACCGTCAGGTCTCAGAGGAGTTAACACAACTTTCTTGTTTCTCACCCAAAGAAATGAAAGTTTTCAGTGGGAGACAAGTTCTAGCCTTCAAAGGAATATAGTGATTATATTATCATTACCTTCACGAGTATAACGATGGAACAGAAACCTAAAACCCACTGGCTTTGAAACAAACAAACAAAAATATATATATATCATTGTTTATATATATATCAATTGATATATATATATAAAAAATATATATCAATTGTTTATATATACATCAATTGATATATATATCAAATATACATATCAATTGTTTATATATATATCAATTGATATATATGTTAACACAACTTTCTTGTTTCTCACCCAAAGAAATGAAAGTTTTCAGTGGGAGACAAGTTCTAGCCTTCAAAGGAATATAGTGATTATATTATCATTACCTTCACGAGTATAACGATAGAACAGAAACCTAAAACCCACTGGCTTTGAAACAAACAAACAAAAATATATATATATCATTGTTTATATATATATCAATTGATATATATATATAAAAAATATATATCAATTGTTTATATATACATCAATTGATATATATATCAAATATACATATCAATTGTTTATATATATATCAATTGATATATATGTCAAAAAAAAATATATATCAAAAATATATCCATATATATATATCTCTCTCTCAAAATATATTCTTATCACTCTGATAAGAACTTTTACTTAAATAAAAAAATACGAACAGACTTTCAGGTACCACAGGCCACATTTAAAAGAATTTCAAACGCTTCTTTAACCCATCTGCAAAAAAAATCTTCACGATTTTACGCAGCCGGGTAAGAAAAGGCCTAAAAAAAGTGATTAATTCCCTCCCAACCCTTTTATAGGAGCTGACATTTATATCACCGTTCACACAATGCTCCCTAATTTGAAATGTCTATCCGGATACGCTGCGCTCGTAATCCTGGAGTTCTCTCCAAAAATTACCGGAATCAGCAATATTTCCCAGCAGTTTCAAAAACAACTGTTATCACCGACGCCCATTAATTAAAAAGCAACTCTCCTTCACAGCTTAAAATCTGCTTTTTTTTTTCAAATTCCAGAGAGAGGCAGAGATAAAAATACCTTCCAGATTATTAAATTGGACGCAGCAAAAACCATTCAAATATTCCTGGCGTCATGAACCGTAAAATCAAAGGAAAAAAAAACAAAAAAAGGAGTTTTTTTGGATAATATAGCCCCCATCTGCCAGGGAATGGCAAACTAGGATGGAGAGGAGGAACTTACCAGTGATACCAGTCGTCGCAGCCGTCACAACCTATCATTGGACTGCCATCATCTGGCTTGTTACAGCCAGGGCAGATCCAGATCTGGTTGCCCCACTCGTCTCGGATCTGGTGCAGAGAAATAAAGAGAGTTACCCGCTTTGCAGGACCAAGGGAGCAGCAAAATTGGTATTTTTTTATGTTTTAAAAATACATTCTTGCTTATCCCACAAAGCTACTCTGTGCTCACTGTTGTTTTTTATGAATTCTCCCCTCCTATGCGCCCAGCATCAAGTTTTAATTTATTTTCCCTAGCCTTCAAAGGAATATAGTGATTATATTATCATTACCTTCACGAGTATAACGATAGAACAGAAACCTAAAACCCACTGGCTTTGAAACAAACAAACAAAAATATATATATATCATTGTTTATATATATATCAATTGATATATATATATAAAAAATATATATCAATTGTTTATATATACATCAATTGATATATATATCAAATATACATATCAATTGTTTATATATATATCAATTGATATATATGTCAAAAAAAAATATATATCAAAAATATATCCATATATATATATCTCTCTCTCAAAATATATTCTTATCACTCTGATAAGAACTTTTACTTAAATAAAAAAATACGAACAGACTTTCAGGTACCACAGGCTACATTTAAAAGAATTTCAAACGCTTCTTTAACGCATCTGCAAAAAAAATCTTCACGATTTTACGCAGCCGGGTAAGAAAAGGCCTAAAAAAAGTGATTAATTCCCTCCAACCCTTTTATAGGATATGATATATATATATCAATTGATATATATATCAATATATATATCAAAAATATATCCTTATATATATATATCTCAAAATATATTCTTATCACTCTGATAAGAACTTTTACTTAAATAAAAAAATACGAACAGACTTTCAGGTACCACAGGCCACATTTAAAAGAATTTCAAACGCTTCTTTAACCCATCTGCAAAAAAAATCTTCACGATTTTACGCAGCCGGGTAAGAAAAGGCCTAAAAAAAGTGATTAATTCCCTCCCAACCCTTTTATAGGAGCTGACATTTATATCACCGTTCACACAATGCTCCCTAATTTGAAATGTCTATCCGGATACGCTGCGCTCGTAATCCTGGAGTTCTCTCCAAAAATTACCGGAATCAGCAATATTTCCCAGCAGTTTCAAAAACAACGGTTATCACCGACGCCCATTAATTAAAAAGCAACTCTCCTTCACAGCTTAAAATCTGCTTTTTTTTTTCAAATTCCAGAGAGAGGCAGAGATAAAAATACCTTCCAGATTATTAAATTGGACGCAGCAAAAACCATTCAAATATTCCTGGCGTCATGAACCGTAAAATCAAAGGAAAAAAAAACAAAAAAAGGAGTTTTTTTGGATAATATAGCCCCCATCTGCCAGGGAATGGCAAACTAGGATGGAGAGGAGGAACTTACCAGTGATACCAGTCGTCGCAGCCGTCACAACCTATCATTGGACTGCCATCATCTGGCTTGTTACAGCCAGGGCAGATCCAGATCTGGTTGCCCCACTCGTCTCGGATCTGGTGCAGAGAAATAAAGAGAGTTACCCGCTTTGCAGGACCAAGGGAGCAGCAAAATTGGTATTTTTTTATGTTTTAAAAATACATTCTTGCTTATCCCACAAAGCTACTCTGTGCTCACTGTTGTTTTTTATGAATTCTCCCCTCCTATGCGCCCAGCATCAAGTTTTAATTTATTTTCCTACACTCCAGCTGGTTGACAAAAGTTTTCCTGTGTTGTCCCATAAACCAGTAAAGCCAGTTGCACCACCTCAGCCTCAGCCCTGGCCTTCAGGTCTGGCAGCCGGGGCTTCAGGACACAACTCCTGCCCCATTTATGGGGACAATTTTTTAAATTCTATCCCATGAAAGGCAAGAAGGAGCCAGGGGCAGCCCCCACGTACGGCACCAGCCTGGGGTGTATGTAAAATATACAGCCCCCCAACGTATACGTCCCCGTTATTACTTATTAGCCAAAGCCTTCAACTTCAACTACCTGATAACATCAGGGGATAAAAAAAAAAGTCGTTACTGAGTAACTTTCCATTCCCCTTATGACATTTATGGCACAGCACGATTTACTAAAGGGTAAACGAAGCGAGGGAGGCAGATCATTTACAGTATTAGGCAGCTGCTTACTGGATTTGGCACATTCAGGGCTTTATAATATATATATATATTTTTTAATGTGCGCCCAGCATCACCTTTTAATTTATTTTCCTACACTCCAGCTGGTTGACAAAAGTTTTCCTGTGTTGTCCCGTAAACCAGTAAAGCCAGTTGCACCACCTCAGCCTCAGCCCTGGCCTTCAGGTCTGGCAGCCGGGGCTTCAGGACACAACTCCTGCCCCATTTATGGGGACAATTTTTTAAATTCTATCCCATGAAAGGCAAGAAGGAGCCAGGGGCAGCCCCCACGTACGGCACCAGCCTGGGGTGTATGTAAAATATACAGCCCCCCAACGTATACGTCCCCGTTATTACTTATTAGCCAAAGCCTTCAACTTCAACTACCTGATAACATCAGGGGATAAAAAAAAAAGTCGTTACTGAGTAACTTTCCATTCCCCTTATGACATTTATGGCACAGCACAATTTACTAAAGGGTAAACGAAGCGAGGGAGGCAGATCATTTACAGTATTAGGCAGCTGCTTACTGGATTTGGCACATTCAGGGCTTTATAATATATATATATATTTTTTAATGTTTATATCCTGCTAGAGCCATTGTTTGGATTTTTAAATTTCAAGTGGTTTCTTTAACGGTTCCTTGGTCAAAACATACAGGGAAAAGGTCCCCAAATCCACCCGAAGAAGGGCAGTTAGCAGCACAGAGTACAAAATGTCTGGGTTTGTACCCTGATTTCATCACCCCTTTGCTGAAATTCACATATTATCACCCAATCTCAAGAACACAAACTGTTTTGTTCTCAGCTTTCCTGCTTTCCTGCATTCACACATCGCTGAGGCAACAACTGTTTTTGCTATCCCTACAGCCTACAAAGATGATATTAAAAAAATAAAAGATTAAACACCCCAAACGCTCTTAGGGATAAAAAACCCCAAAAGAACCACTACAGGGTGGTCTGTACATCTTCTAGCACCTCCTGAAAAATCAATAGGCACGTACTGGAGCTGCAACCAACACTTCACTCTCCACTGACTCCTCTTAAAGCCCTGAAATTTCTTTTTTTTTTTTCTGATTTAAAAATAGAAAAGACAAACCCCAAGAATATTAAGCAGGGAACAATCCCCTTCCCAACAGCGAAATGTAGTTGGCAACGTCATACAAGGAGCTTGATTTTTGAAGTTGATTGATTGCAAAATTCATTCCTATCTACGTATCCAATCTCACATCTGCAAAGTCATGTTGAGTTGGTAGAGAAGCATCTGCTCTGCAGGTCTGTCCTCTGAAAAGGTCCTGCACTTGGAAGGCACCCACCCAGGGTGCTGCCTGGCTCAGGCACCAGCGGTGCCAGCTGTAGGTGATGCTGCCTGATGTCCCTCCATGAGGTGCTGGGTGCCAGCTGTAGGTGAGGCCCCATCTGGAGCACTGTGTCCACTTCTGGGCTCCCCAGTTCAAGAAGGACAGGGAACTGCTGGAGAGGGGACAGCAGAGGGCTACAAAGATGATGAGGGGCCTGGAGCATCTGCCCTATGAGGAGAGGCTGAGGGACTTGGGTCTTTTTAGTCTGGAGAAGAGAAGGCTGAGGGGGGATCTGATCAATGCCTATAAATACTTAAAGGGTGGGTGTCAAGAGGATGGGGCTGGTCTTTTTTCAGTGGTGCCCAGGGACAGGACAAGAGGAAATGGGCACAAACTGGAATATAACAAATTCCACCTAAACATGAGAAGGAACTTCTTGACTTTGAGGGTGGCAGAGCCCTGGAAGAGGCTGCCCAGGGAGGTGGTGGAGTCTCCTTCTCTGGAGGCATTCAAAACCCGCCTGGACATGCTCCTGTGCAACCTGCTGTAGGTGGGGCATTGGACTAGCTGATCTCCAGAGGTCCCTTCCAACCCCATGTGATTCTGTGATTCTATGATGCTGCTTGATGTCACCCCATGAGGTGCTGGAGCGTGTCCAGAGAAGGGAAACGAAGCTGATGAGGGATCTGGAGCACAAGTCTTGTGAGGAGTGATGCAGTCCTGAGTGATGTGCTCTGGGCAATCCTGCTTTAGCAGTGGAGTTGGACTAGATGATCTCTAGATATCTTCCAACTCTGACAATTCTGTGATTCCATGAGTGGCTGAGGGAGCTGGGGTTGTTCAGCCTGGAGAAAAGGAAGCTGAGGGGAGACCTCCCTCTCTACAACTCCCCAGTAATAAGCGACAGGAAAAGAGGAAATGGCCTCAAATTGTGCCAGGGGAGGTTTAGGATGGCTATTAGGAAATATTTCTTCACCAAAAGTGTTGTCCAGCACTGGAACAGGCTGCCCAGGGAATTGGTGGAGTCCCCATCCCTGGAGGTATTTAAAAGCTGGGCAGACGTGGTGCTGAGGGACATGGTTTAGCAGTAACCTGGGCAGTGCTGGGTTAATGGTTGGACTCAACGATCTTAAAGATCTCTTCCAACCGTGACGATTCTAAGATTCTATGATTAGACAGACACCCTAATTTACCCAAACTTAACTTTTCAGGGGGGATGTTTGGCTGCAGAATTACCTGCCTTAGGCTTTCAGGGGCTGGAGACGGGTGGTCTATAACCATCGAAACCTCTGCCTGCCTGTTAAACGAGAACTTGGGGCTGCTGAATGAGGATGTTAAAAATATTGCCCAACTTCTCATTCCTTAACGAGCCAAGGGTCATGGAAGGAGGGACAGTCTGTGATCGAGGATGCTATTTTAGTACAAACCGCTGAGAGTTCATGATAAGAGCACCCTTGCCGAGATGCTATCCTACAGGGAGATCCCACATCTTTCTTTTATTTTTAAACTCTAAGATCATCCTCCTGTCCTCTCCTGCAGAAGGGAGTTGTGCACCTCTGTCACACCGGCTCCAATCTTATCTCTACAAGAGCTTTCCTTGTGCGACGTGGCAAAAACCATTTCATCATTCTGTGTCCTGGATTCCCTTCACGCAAGGGTCTAATAGTCACTAATTATTCCCTTCTTCCCCAGACTCTCTCCCAGCTTTTTGACTTATAAATGTCTCACATCAGGAGTGTCTCTGCCTCTGGACATAGTTGGATCCTGATGGAGTAAAAGCCCTGGTTTCAACTGTAATCATAGAATCATAGAATGGTTAGGGTTGGAAGGGACTTGGTTTCAACCATAACGCTGAAGCACGAAATAACCTAGAGTCTACGTGTCCTCTAAATTCTCCATAAGGTGCTACGAGTTTTGCCACCCTTCTCACTCTCTACGACTACCTGGAGGTTGTAGCGAGGTGGGGGTCAGTAAGCACAAAATAACCCAGAGCCTACGTGTCCTCTGAATTCTCCATAAGGTGCTAAGAGTTTTGCCACCCTTCTCACTCTCTATGAACACCTGGAGGTTGTAGCGAGGTGGGGGTCAGTCTCCTCTCCCAAGTAACAAGCGATAGGACAAGAGGAAATGGCCTCAAGCTGTGCCAGGGGAGGTTGAGAATGGATATCAGGTAAAATTTCTTCACCATGAGTGTTATCAAGCACTGGAACAGGCTGCCCAGGGAAGTGGTGGAATGTCCATCCCTGGAGGGACTTCAAAGCCAGGCAGACGTGGTGCTGAGGGACAGGGCTTAGTGGTGGTTTTGTCAATGTCAGGTTGATGGTTGGACTCCATGATCTGAATGGTCTCCTCCAACCTAGTCAATTCTATGATTCTAAGTACCTTGGAAAAGTTCCAGGTTTTCTTCCTTTAAACTAACATCATCTCCAAGTTACTTGCTTTAAACACTCACTGAAGAAAACTGGATGTAGTACAGTATTTTTGGAAATGTTTCTCTCTTAGGATGAATTTCCAAGCTTCTGGGCACTGCTGTAACAGGAAGAGTGACCCTGTACGTACGGCTGTGAGATGGTCTCCTCCAACCTAGTCAATTCTATGATTCTAAGTACCTTGGAAAAGTTCCAGGTTTTCTTTCTTTAACATCATCTCCAAGTTACTTGCTTTAAACACTCACTGAAGAAAACTGGATGTAGTACAGTATTTTTGGAAATGTTTCTCTCTTAGGATGAATTTCCAAGCTTCTGGGAGCTGCTGTAACAGGGAAGAGTGACCCTGTACGTACGGCTGTGATACAGGAGGTGAGGATGAGTGTCCTGCACCCTAAAGACAACGCACAGCTTCTGGTGCTGTAACCATCTCCAGACTGAAATGTAGCAGCTGGTCAAATAGAGACCAGTAACGTGACACAACTGGTTTAAGTCCAGCAGGGAAGAGCACCTTTTCCATTAGAAATGGCAGGGTAGATTTACACTAGGAATCACCATAAAAACAAGAATTAAAGAAAAAAAAAGATAAAAATCACACCTGTGTTGCAATTAAAGCACAAGGAATCACTTCCATCCCTGGAGGGGTTCAAGACCAGGCTGGATGGGGCTTTGAGCAACCTGGTCTGGTGGAAGGTGTCTCTGCCCATGGCAGGGGGGTTGGAACTCAATGATCTTGAAGGTCCCTTCCAACTCTAACCTAATTGTATGAATCTATGAATTGTAATAAAAGCAAGTTTCAGGTGTTTTGAAGGTGAGGGTTTTAAACTGCTACCCATGATAGATAAGGAAGGTGTCCTCAACCAAGCTGGAATTCAGCCAGGAGAGGGAGGATAACTACACTGCTGCCACTGTTAATGGCATCTGCTGCTCTTCAAGGACCAGGAATGCTCAGGACTTCCATTTTATATGGCATCTAAAGCAGATGTTCTTTTAGAAAGTGCAGTCCCTACACCATGTGGGATGGGAGACTTTTCAAAAGGAATGAAGAAGTCTTAATGCTACCAGACAGAGGCCAAGTTCAGCCCATACGTCAAACAGACTAATGACCTGTAGACTAATGAACTATCTACAGACTTTCTGAGATGCACAAACATTTGCAATTTCTCTATGTTGAAGAAACCAGAAAAGAGATTAGTGGACTCAACACATTTCAAATGAGTCAAAATTCTTGACGCCGCATGAGGGTTTTGTACTTTACCTGACTGACAGCAAAATCTATGGCCAGCTTGACATTTGAGGTTTCAATTCAGCACTTACGAAAGCATCTATAAAAACCATCTCCACCTCCAAAAATAAATGCCCTCGCTCAGTTAGCAGAAAATACCAAGTGGGATATAACTGGACTTGTTTATCACAAGCCCAGGAACCATCAGTTTGAGCTGCTGAGTTCACCCAGGAGTTCAGCAGTTCCAAGAGATGAAGGTCACCGGCCCTGGTGCGTGTTACCTACCACGTAAGTACTGACGGTCTCAGTCACCACGCTCCTGACTGGAGCTTTGGAGCCTCCTGCTGCTGAGACGGCTGGAGAGGGTGGTGGGATGAGGACCGGCGAGACGGTAGCCTGGGGAGGAGGAGGAGCTGGGGCTGGAGGAGGGGTGACATGAACGGGAGCTGGTACAGGTGACGGCACGGGCGGAGGTGTTTTGGGCCGGCTGACTGGAGTAGAGTTTTTGGCCTCTGGAGCTGGTACCACTTTGCTGATGACTCTGTAGGACCACAAAGGAGAATTGTTAGGAGCTGATGGGAAAGAAAGCAACGATCGATCAACGACGAGACATAAAGAAAACACAGTGCTGCTAATTCACATCACTTCTGAGCCTCTTTGGTAGGCTGTTTCAACCCAACACAAGGTACATCCATCCATGGGATGGGATAAAACCATTACAAAGTGAACACCACGACAGCCTGAACCACTCTCCAGCTCGCTGTCAGAGAAATATTCTCTGTGGCTTTACTAAACCTTTTTTCGTTAAGTTTTATTACATTAGCTCAATTTGTGGGAAATATTAGAAAGGAAAGTTAATCAGCTGTGAACAGCACTGATTTTAATCTTCAAACCGAGAGACGATATCATCCTCTTCAGATCGTACATTAGGGGGTTCTCCAAATATTTGCTAGTTTAGTATTTCTTTCCCCAAATGTTTATGAAACCAGCAGTGGATCTAGTCAGGACAAATAAATGACGCACACGATATACTCAGCAGTTAAAATATTGCTACTTACTCGAGTAGCTGAAGTAGACAGGATGTAGCTCTAGTAAATACACAGTATAGAATAATCTTGCCCAGGAAGGGGGAATACATAGAGGACCCAAGGTTTATTAATGAATGTTGATACACAGTGTTATTGATGTGCATGCGATTTAACGGACAAGACAGAAAAAGCCCTTACCATAAGGCTCTAGGTTAGAAACGTAAAGAGAGAAGGAAAAGGATGTTTTAGAAAACAAAACAAAACAAAAAAACCCCTCAAACAAAACACAGAATAGGTCTATTTGTTTGACCATATTTTGGTAAATCATTTAACTAACTTATTTATGTTTGAATGGTAACTGTGGGAGTGCAATTGATTTGCGACGGGACTGAAGGAAGAGGGCGATTTAAAGAAAGGTTAGACATTCCAGAGAGGAGATCTTAAGAAGGTAAAAAGTGGAGACATCAATAGGAAAACCATGACGAAAATCAAATTCCAGCAACTCCTGAGAACTGGGAAAGTCCAGGTCCACTGCCAATGGGAATCCTACATTCACCTTTAGAGTTTACTGCAGCTCTCTCACGATATTCAAAAGGCAGTATCATTAGGAGCGGAGACATTGTCTGCATTTCAGGTCAATAATCCAAGCCATCGTTTGAGAAAGGCTTGGAATTCTACAGCATTTAATGCTTGGCTGAGCTAGTAAGTGGTTTTCTTCCAAGATGTGCCACTTGAACTCTAAACCAAAACGAAACAGAGCCATGGGTTTGGTATTCCTGCCTCACCTGACAACTGCAACATCACACCTACCTTCCAAGACCTACTATGAGTGACCAGGGGAAGAGAACCAAGACCAAGGAAGTTTAGAAACTTGGAGTGGAGCAGAAACTAAAAGGTGTTAGATGACTTTCCATCAGCAACTCTGAAGATATTCACACTACTTGATGGCCCAGCGATTGCTTCAGATACCTGATCTGGGAGCTCAGGCTCTTTTTATGTGTCAGTAGGTGCTAGACTGTGAGTCAAAGCACAGGACTCCTGATTTACCTCATCTGTGACTTGTAGAAGGAAGTAAGTCCTGGGATCTGGGACATGGACCTGTTGGAACAGGTCCAGAGGAGGGCCATGAAGATGATCAGAGGGCTGGAGCACCTCTCCTATGAAAACAGGCTGAAAGAGTTGGGGTTGTTCAGCCTGGAGAAGAGAAGGCTCTGGGGAGACCTTAAAGCCCCTTCCAGTCCCTAAAGGGGGCCTACAGGAGAGATGGGGAGAGACTCTTTATCAGGGAGTGGAGCGATAGGATGATGCGTCACGGTTTTAAACTGAAAGAGGGGAGATTTAGATTAGATATCAGGAAGAAATTCTTTGCTGTGAGGGTGGTGAGACCCTGGAACAGGTTGCCCAGAGAAGCTGAGGCTGCCCCATCCCTGGAGGGGTTCAAGGCCAGGCTGGATGGGGCTTTGAGCAACCTGGTCTGGTGGGAGGTGTCCCTGCCCATGGCAGGGGGGTTGGAACTGGATGATCTTTAAGGTCCCTTCCAACCTAAACCTTTCTATTATTTTATGATTATTGTGCCATCCTGGGAGCAACCTACACACCAAATCCAGTTTCTTTCTCCTGTTAGTGGGGTACATCCAAAACCCCACTGTTAACTCCCACCAAGAAAGCTTTCTCTTTGGCTCTTGAACGTCCATGATGTGTTTCTGGCTTAATGAAAGTCTTAGCATGTGGCTCCCCAGAGCTCCTGCCTGACTGGCCACTTCAACTCAGATGCTTCTGCTGTGCCTTCCTTCTTCCACAGCTCCCACAGAGAGCCCTGGCTCCCAATGCTGAATTCCTAAGACCTTGGTTGGTGGCAATTCTCCCATGGTTTGCAAAGTCACCCTCACGACTTGAGAGCCAACTCACAATAAAAGAAAAAAAAAAAAAAAAGAAAAAAATTAGCAATAATAAAAGCAAGGAGAGGGACAGACAGCAAAATATTTGGCACCGCAGAAGTCATTTGGACCGTTTCAAACGTCATTACCCCTTCTTCTCCTGCCTCCTCCTTCTACCCCCTGCAAGTAAACAAAGTCCTGCTATGACTTCTTCAGGGAGTCAACCCTCCTCGAGTCTAGACTAGGAAATGTATCAGCTAATAGGATTTTAAACACAACTTTGCACCCAGTGTAAACAGTTCTAAAGAAGTATTAGCTAATATGATTTGAATAAGAGTGACCATGCCCAGCGAACGTATGAAATTAAATGACATAGTTTCTTGGGCTAGATAAAGCCGGGTTCTCCTCCTGAACAGGGTCTTCGAAGCCACTCTGTTAATAACTGCAGAAGGAACATCACATGAGAAATCTTCCAAAACTACAAATATTCATTAGCGGGCGACACAGACTCATTGATTGGCTGGTTTGCTTGAAGCGTGCAATTAGGACATGTTCAGTATATAGGGCACGTTGTTTATCTTGATTGTAGAGCTCAGTTATCAAAACAGGAGATCGGCATTTCGGAGCACGCTTGGGCCTACCACTCCCTTGGGCTAATGAAGTTCAGAGACTTTAGACTCCAGAGTGGAGAAATGACTGGCTTTGTGCTACACCATCAGAGGTGATGGAGTAATCTCAGCGAGGGTGGTTTAGCCTGTCCTCCATCCTGAAGAAGGGGCTGCACACACGGCAATACGGAGGTGGGGAGAAATCAAAGGGAAATAGCAATCCCACAACTAATAATTAATGTTACTTCAGACTTGGAAAGAAACCCGATATCAAAACACTATGTAAATGATGGCAAGATTTATGAGCTCTGTTTTATAGACAGGAAAATCGAGGCACGGAGCACGCTGCAAGTAGGTGGTACTCACTACAGTGAAGCTTCGATCCTCCTGGTACCCAGGTCCCTGGTTAGGACTTAAAGTCTACATTTGGACATCACCTTATGTGTATCATTACTTTCCTTCCCAAAAATGCTTCTCACACGCTTCCATCATCAGCACTTGTATATTAAAAATCACTAAGTACAACACTAAATATGACAAAACTTCACCCCACCCTTCAAAGACCAAGAAATCTAAAACCGAGGCTGGAATAATAATCAAACACAAATGAACATCAACCACCATCAACATACTCGGAGTCCTGAGACAAGAATTACACTCCTCTCCAGGCTGCTTGCCTGGCGGTGTCTCACAAACACGTTCTCCACTGAAAGATAAAAAGTCAATTAAAAGTTGTTTTTGAATCAAAATCGTTCCTCCAGAATGAAGGGGTGTGAGAAAAGCCTTGGAATAGATGTGGTAATAAGAGCTTCCATAAATCATAAGTAAAGGTTACCACTCCCTTTAAAATAAACCCCAGAATTAATGTAAACATTGTGTATCTGGTTGTGTCCAACCTAAATTAATTTTGCATTTTTTTTTTTAAACGCCAGCAGGAACTGTATTTCTTACAGAACCTCGGTGCCTTTAGAATTGATAGACCTCTTCATAATGATTCTTCATGACTCTATAATGGCAGAATGAATGAAAACCCATGTTCACCATTACTCCAGGGCAATCATCCTGTCCAAAGTTAAGCATCCAAACCCAAACAGGCTGAAACCCAAGTGTCTGTTTGCAGGAAAAGTGCAAATTCTACCAAGATTTTAAGTGTTGCGAGGGGTCAGTTAATTTAGAATTGGCTCGAAGTGGGCTGAGCTGTAACACGCTACATCTGGAGCAAAATGAGGCTCCAAGGTGTGAAATGGTTTCCTATCTTTGCAAGTAATTGATTTGATTTGATTCCGATCCTTCTGGCTGACAGCCCCCTGACTGCTTCATATAAACACAGGGAAAAAGACGTGTCCACCGAAAGGAAATGGCTTCTCAAAAAAAAATAGGATATGAGCCATGGGGCTGGATGATTGCTCCGGGTGATGGGCTGTAAAAAAAAATATGCTGTATCGGTACTTCGAAAGGTCTAGTAAAAAATCACAGTGATCTTTGTTTCTTGGAGAAAGAAGCTGTTTCACATCGGATCTGCCTAAAGAAAAAATGACATTTGAAAAGTCCTAATTCTTTCCTGAACCCGTGACCCATTTTTAAGCAAGGAGCAGGAGCTAAAGGGGTCTTTGTGCGTAGGAAAATGACCCCATCAACTGCACTGATGTAATTAAAACTAGTACAACTCACTGGGATTACTACAAGTTATATTATTAGTGATATTATTATCTATTAATATTGATATTCCCTTATCAATCAAATTCCTTGATGCTAGAAAGTTAAACGGTGCCAACTATTTTATTCCTGACAGATCTCGTATTGATATTCCCTTATCAATACAAGTTCCTTGATGCTAGAAAGTGAAATGGTGCCAACTATTTTATTCCTGACAGATCTCACACCTGGAACTGAGATTGCTGCAGCAGAAAAAAAAAAAAAAAAAGAAAAAAAAGAAATACTCTAAGAGCTGTGGGTAAAAGTGTCAAAACCACCTAGGGGAATCAGGAAGATTTCCATATGGTTTAGATTCTTCACAGATTAGAGGTG